GGTGTCAGCACTGGTGTGGCCATCAGGGCCAGGGCAGGGATCATCCCCCTGTGCTGGGCACTGGGGAGAGGGCACCTCAAGTCCTGGGGTCAGTTCTGGGCCCCTCAGGACAAGAAGGACATGGAGGGGCTGGAGTGTGTCCAGGGAAGGGCAAGGGAGCTGGGGAAGGGGCTGGAGCACAAGTGTGAGCAGGAGCAGCTGAGGGAGCTGGGGGTGTCCAGCCTGGAGCCAAGGAGCTGAGGGGAGACCTGCTGGCTCTGCAGCTGCCTGAGAGGAGGTTGGAGCCAGGGGGGGTCGGGCTCTGCTCCCCAGGAACAAGGGGCAGGAGCAGAGGAACCGGCCTCAAGTTGTGCCAGGGGAGGCTGAGGTTGGGTATTAGAAGAAACTTCTTCACTGAAGGGTTATTAAACAGTGGCCCAGGCTGCCCAGGGAGGTGGTTGAATCACCATCCCTGGAGGTGTTCAGAAGCCACGTAGATGTGGTGCTGAGGGACACGGTTTAAGTGCTGGACTTGGTAGAGTTGGCTCAGTGGTTGGACTTGATCTGAAAGGTCTTTTCCAAGCAGAAGGATTCTGTGATTCTGTGTCATTCTGAGGAGGACATGATGGAGCAGAGCTGCTCTGAACTGGCCTTGCTTGAAAGATGGAGGATGCAGGAAGGAGAGGCACAGGGTGTGCAGGCAGCTCCTCTTGGAGGCAGGGAGCAGGACCTGCTGGTGTTGGCCATGGTTGGGTTCCCATTGCCAGAGGGCAGTTGGGAAGCTCTGCCAGTGGGATTTTGAGTCCATAGGTGGGTGCAAAAGCCCCAGAAGCATCTCTGAAGGGAGTCACCTGGAGCTGTGCCATGGCTGTGGAGAGCAGTGAGGGGCCTGGGATGGCCAGGGACATTCCCTGCTGGTATGTTCCTCTGGAGCTGCCTCCTGCCAGGCTTGGGTTTGCTTTCCAGGATACCAGGCTGGGAGAAGGGATTTGTGGATACAAACTGGCCCCATCCTGCCAAACCCCACATCCATCCCATTTGTTGGCAGCTGGGTGGGAGCAGGGAGAGGTCACTCAGGCTGGTGATTTTGGTGCTGGGCTGGAGCTGGTGCTCAGCCACACGGTGCCTGCAGCCTGGCTTGGAGGTTTCTTTGCAAGTGGCTATTGGGAAGAGCCTGGCTTTGGCAGAAGCAGAAGGGGGAGCATGAAAAAAGACCTCTGGTCCCCTGGGGAGCTGTGTCCTCTGGAGGTGTTGAAGCCTATCTGGCTGGTGGGGCTGAAAGGTCCTTTCAGTGCAGCAGGGGCTGGACCAAGTGGTGCTGCCAACGTTGTGGACACCAATGGGGGGCACGTCAGCCCCAAATTCTCTGTGGGGAGGTGCAAGAAAAGTGTATTTTGGGTGAATCTCCACATGGGCCTTTGCTGAGGTGCCTTGAGCTCATGTTGGTCTTTCCCCCCAGCTCCAGCCTTGCCAGGAGCAGTTCCCTGCCTCTGGTGCTCAGGGTTTGTGCCAGGGGAGAGGATGGAAGTGCTGGGGAGGTGGGAGGGCTGGGCTGGTGCTCAAGTTTTCCTGAGCCCAAGGCTCAGCAGGGATCCAGGAGGACACATCTTGTCCCCTCCTCTGCCTGCTGTGGGCAAAGGTGCCATGGGCTGAGCTGCGGGGGCAGCTCAGAACCCTCAGCCTGTAATTTCCTACCTCCAGCTCTTCTCTTTTTAGAATAAAATGGTATTTTGTGCTTTTCCATCCCAGGAGCTGCCCCCTCCAGTCTGACCAGCTTCCTCTGAGCACTGGCTGCCATGGAGCTTCACCCTGCTGTGGTGCTGAGCACCCTGACACCAGCTCCTGGGGGTGGCTCCTGAGGTTTTTTCCAGCCCTATTAATTTTTCCTTGCCAAGCTGGGTGAGCAGATGAGCAGAGAAGGGTTGTCCCCCTGCTGACCCCTGCTGCCGGGGTGGTGTTCATGGGAGAGCAGCTTCTTCTATTCCCAGCACCAAAGTGCTGGTGTTTGGCAGCACAGTCTGTGACCCAGGGAAGGCTCATCCTGCCCAAGCACTGGTACTCGAGTCCAGCAGGTCATGGCACTGGTGCTGCATCACCCCAGAAGTGCTGAATGACCCCCCCCCTGTGTCCATGGTGTGGGGAGTGGGTTGCACCACCCCTGGCTGTGGGTGGGAAGGGGAGACTGGTGGGCTGGGTGACCCCATGGATGGTGCTGGTGTGGTGAGATGGGGCTTTGGTGGGGGGGACAAGGTGGTCTCCTGGCATCCAGGTCAGGACCAAGCCAGCTCCAGCTGGGGAAACACCACCAGCAGTTGAAGGGACCTGAGCTTCAAGCAGCCAGAATCAGCCCCATCTGAATTTTCACTTATTTTCTCATTTGCCAGAATTTGAAAAATATTTTCCGAGAAATCAAAGGTTTCTTTTTCCAGCCATTGCTGGTTCCTGGTGCACGTGCACAGAGTCTGCTCCCTGGAGACCATCACGTGGGCTTCCCTGGTGTTTCTTGGAGGTCATCACTGATGTCTTCTCAACTGCCTTTTACCTCCTTTTATTTTCTGGAGCTGGGTCAGTGCTGAAGCTCTGAAATGAGATGGAGGGGGGGAGGGATTGTCCTTCTTCCTCCATTTCTCTTTTCCTTTCAGTCAGGAAAGTTGCCTGAGCTGAGATGTTTGTTCCTCAGATGTGCTGGAGGTGCCTGCAACAACGTGGCTGGGGCAGGGGGAGGTTGCAGGGGAATAGGAAATGAAAACCTTTTCAGCCTGCAAAAATCCATACAGTGGCAAAAAACCAAAGCAAAGCTAAATATAGAGGGCCCGTGAGGTCGCTCTGACTTCTGGTGGGGGAAAAAAAAGGTCACTTTTAAAAGAAAATAATCCCCAGAGAAGCAGTTGGGTTGATGGGCAGGTTTTTGTTGGGGCAAGAAGTGGCTGCACGGAGCCCTGGGTGGGTTTTTGGCTTAGAAAGGTGGACTTGAAGAAATAAAATACCTCCTAGAAATGACACCTCTGCTGGAGCATCGTGTCCCAGTTGGGCTTACTGGTTTACGAAGGTTTTGAGATGGTTGGATGTCCTGGGGTGGCCCCTGGGGGTCAGGGATGGCCCTGGGGACGCGGAGTTGGGCTGTTGTGGGACCTGGGGCTGTGGGTCCAGCTGGGGCTGAGCTCAGCCCTCCTCCCCTTCCCTCCCTCTGCTCCCACCTCCCAACACCCAGGCTGGGATTTTGGAGGGTCCTGATGTGACATTTCAGGAAAGCTTCCCACCATGACCTTTCCTACTGGCCGGGGGGGTTTCCCCACCCCTGCAGTGGGAGACCTGCCCACAAGGTCTACTTTGCTCCACGGGTTTGGTTTTGTTGTTTTGGGTTTTTTAATTGATTTATTTGAGCAGGTCCCCAGATAGGCAGAAAAAGGATGGATGTGCTCTCTCTGGTGGTGTTGGTCTCTGCCCAGAGCAGGTGGCTGATGCTGGAGCTCTTGGTTGGGCTCCTGGGGGTGCTGCAGTGGGTGCTGCCTGGGGAGCTCTGGTGGGGAGGGCTCTGGGGATGCTATGGGAGCAGATGAGCTCCTTGCACCAGCTCTGGTGCTCGAAAGCTGCTCACTGGTGCTGTGTGGGGATGCCAGGAGGCTTCAGGTTGCCCAGGGAGGCTGTGGCTGCCCCATCCCTGGCAGTGTTGAAGGGCAGGTTGGATGGGGCTTGGAGCAGCCTGGGCTGGTGGGAGGTGTCCCTGCCCATGCAGGGGAGGTTGGAACTAGATGAACTGGGCAACCTGTTCCAGGGTCTCATCACTCTTGCATTAAAGAATTTCCTCCTCATGTCTCACCTCAATCTCCCTCTTTCAGTTTTCACCCATCCCCCTCATCCCATCCCTCCCTGCCCTTGTCCCAAGTCCCTCCCCAGCTTTCCTGGAGCCCCTTCAGGCACTGGAAGGTGCTCTAAGGTCTCCCTGGAGCCTTCTCTTCTCCAGGCTGAACACCCCAACTCTCCCAGCCTGTCCCAGAGCTGCTCCAGCCCTCCCATCATCTCCATGGCCTCCTCTGGACTCTTTCCAGGAGCTCCATGTCCTTCTTCTGTTGGGGGGCTCTAACAATGATTTAACCTTTCCCCTCCCTGTTTGTTTTTTTCCCCCAGACTCCAAAGCCTTCCTGATCTACAACACGGGGGCACAGGGCTGCCTGGAGACCAAGGACTCCCTGGTGAGACTGGCCAAGAGCTGCAACACCAGTGCCCCTGCCCAGCAGTGGAAATGGGTCTCTCGGAACCGCCTCTTCAACGTGGGGTCCCTGCAGTGCCTGGGGGTGTCGTGGCACGGGCCCAACACCACGGCAGGGCTGCACCCCTTGGCTACCTACGAGTGCGACCGGGAGTCCATCAACATGCGCTGGAGCTGCCGGGGCCTCGGGGAGCAGCTCTCCCAGCATCTGGGTGCCCGCCCGGGGAATTCCTCCCTGGAGAGGGGGGACCAGGCGCGGGGTGCCCAGTGGAGGACGTTCGGCACCGAGGAGGACCTGTGCTCCGTGCCCTACTCTGGTGAGGCCTGGGCTGGGTGGCACTGTTGTCCCCTTCACCCAAAACAGCCCCAAAATCTGAGCCCCAAAATCTCGGCTGTAAATCCAGGCAGGATTGTGGTGAGGCCCCTCCAGGCACCCCTCTAGCCCCCATGCCTGGTCAATTCACACCCCAAACCTCACTCTGAACCCCTCCCCAGTGGATGCAGCTTCAACCAAAGGCTTCTGTTTCTCTGCAGAGATTTACACCATCCAGGGCAACTCGCACGGGAAGCCCTGCACCATCCCCTTCAAGTATGACAACCAGTGGTTCCACGAGTGCACCAGCACAGGGAGGGAGGATGGTCACCTCTGGTGTGCTACCACCCAGGACTATGGCAAGGACGAGCGATGGGGCTTCTGCCCCATCAAGAGTAAGTGTTGGGGGTCACATCCCACGGGGAAAAGCAGAGACCCTTTGTCCATCCCTCCTGTCTCATCCTTCCTCCCGTGAGCAGCCTGTGGTGCCAGAGCAGCCCCCACTGCTTCTCGTGACCTGTCTTTTGGGGGTGGTTAGGGGTTTTTGGAGCTGTGGGTAGGGAGGGACTGGGGGCTCACACTGCTCATCCCCACAGGCAATGACTGTGAGACCTTCTGGGACAAGGACCATCTCACCAACAGCTGCTACCAGTTCAACTTCCAGTCGACGCTGTCGTGGCGGGAGGCCTGGAACAGCTGTGAGCAGCAAGGGGCCAACCTGCTCAGCATCACTGAGATCCACGAGCAGACCTACATCAATGGTGAGATGATGGCAGCACTCCTGTCCTCCTCACCTGGGGTATTGCTGGTGGCCCTGTGGCTGTCACTCGTGCCAGGTTGCTCTGCCTATCCCAGATGGTTATTTTGGGGATGGTAACAGGCTGGGGTTGGGTTGGGGCTGGGGGGACTGACCTTGCCCCTCTGGCTGTGTTGGTCCCAGGACTGCTGACAGGGTACAGCTCTACACTCTGGATTGGACTCAACGACCTGGACATCAATGGAGGCTGGCAGTGGTCGGACAACTCGCCCCTCAAGTACCTCAACTGGGAGAGTGGTGAGCTGGGGGGCTTATGGTGGTGATAGGAGCAAGCTGGGGCCAGTGGAGGTGGCTCCATGGCAGAAGTGGTGGCCTGGGCAGCCGTGGGGTGTCCCCTTGGTGCTGGGAGATGGAGATCCCCTGGGTCAGAGCAGCCTGGGACAGCTGTGGAGCTGGAGAGGTGATACAGAGTGATGATGGGGAATTGTTTCTCAGCAAACCCTCAGCAGCCCTGTGGATAACCTGGGTTGAGCACCCTTGTTTGGAGGGTTGTTACATCCTAGCTTAGTGCTGGAGTGCAGCTGAAGAGTTGTCCCCAACCACAACACCCATCTCTAACCCTGGGGTGTTCAGAGGGCAGAAGGACCCACTGTGGGGGCTGCTCTGCTCACACCCAGTGCCATCCCCCAAAGGCACTCATGGGGGCATCCCAGGAGGAGGTTTGGGGTCAGGTAAGAACAGCTCAGGTCTGGTATCATGTCCCCCAGAGCTGCCATCCAATATCTCCAGGAAAAACACTGATGCTCTTGTGCATTGAGACACAATAAACAAACCTGGGCACCTGGGGTCACGTTTTCATGGTGCGAAGCAACAAACTGAAGGTGCCTCCACTGGTGCTGGAGCAGGGGGAGCTGCACTCTGCTGGCACAAGCCCTTCTGTGGTCCCCATCCTTGCTTGGGCAGCCTTGGTGGCTTTGCCTTGGCCTCACCACTGAGTCTCCCCACCCCTCACCCCCCTTTTCCAGACCAGCCAGACAACCCCAGCGAGGAGAACTGCGGGGTGATCCGCACCGAGTCCTCCGGGGGGTGGCAGAACCGCGACTGCGGCATCGCCCTCCCCTACGTCTGCAAGAAGAAGCCCAACGCCACAGCAGACCCCTTCCTGACGGGTGAGCTGGGGGTGGGGCTGGAGCTGGACCCTGGCTTGGGTGTGCTCCCATCCCAGCGTGGCCAGGAGATGATGTCCAAGTGCCAGAGCAGCCCTTGGAGGTGCTGCTGGTGGCCCCGGGGTGCGGTGGTTGAGCTCCCGGGGGGTGTCTGGGTGTGGAAAAAAGCCTTCCCAGGGGGCATCTCCCGAGAAGAGCCTGGTGAACTTACAGGTTGGGCAGTAGGGGAGGAATCCAGAGGGGCCTGTGGTCCCCAGGGGATGGGGTGCCATCCCTCCTCTGCCCCTGCCCCTCACCATTGTGTGCTGCATCTTGGCCGTAGCTTTCCCACAGTTGCTTGGGCTTGGTCTCCTAAACACCCTGTGGGACTCTGGTCCTTTCCCTGCCAAGGAGAGGGTTGGAGAGCAGGACTGGAGCTCTCAGGCTGCCTTGTGTCCTGCCAGACTCGTGGTCAGAGGTGAAGGTGGACTGTGAGCCCAGCTGGCAGCCCTTCCAGTCCAACTGCTACCGCCTGGTGGGAGAGAAGAAGAGCTGGCAGGAGGCAAAGAAGACCTGCCTGAGAAGTGGGGGGGACCTGGTCAGCATCCACACCCTCTCCGAGCTGGAGTTTGTCACCAAGCAGATCAAGCAAGGTAAGGGGGAGCCCACTGTGCCCCCAACACCCTTCCTGTCTGATTTTGGGACCTGTGGGAAGGTCACATCTGTGCGACGGAGGCTGCAAAGCTGAACTGACTCCTGGCTGTGAAGGGGGTGGAGACCCCGGGGTGGGGGGTGATGTGTGGCTTGGAGGAGCTGGTGCTCCAGGTGCATCCTCCATCCAGCAAATGGAAAAGCTGTTCCCAGGAGCCTGTGGTGCTGGGGAGGGAAATGCACAGCTGCAGCTGGGAATGGCACGAGTCTCAGCTAGTTGATGTAGAAAAAGATGGGAAAACAAATCCTGCTGGCCTTGCTGGAGGAGACTGCACCTCTCACTGCTCAATCTGCCCAGGACATGGGTGTCCCCCCAGCAGGTCAAGGGAAGGGGAAAGTCCTGCCTGCAGCATCCCAGGTTTCTCTTTCCCATCCCAGCTTCACCCAGATACTATTGTCTGGGTTGAAGTTTCCTGTGTTGGGATGTGTCAGAGCTGAGATGGTACTTGGGAAGTTTCAGCCCAAGCCATCATGTGGTGGTACGGGGACCTGTGCCACCATCCTCCAGACCCTGCCTGTGCACCCCTTGTTAGCATCCCCCTGGGGTGGGTTTTGCTGTTCCCACACACGTGCAGCCCCTCGGGCTGGCAGTGAAACCCACCACAGGGGTGCAGGGGGACCCAGACTCCAGCAGGAACCAGGGAAGGGCTGAAGGGAATTCTTGCCAAGAGAGGCAGGAGTTGGAGGAGGGTGGAGGAAGGAGGGGGACATACCCCAGACAGAGATGGGATGGGAGGGAATGGTTGGAAATGGCTGGACCTGAGCCTGCAGATCTGGACTTTTACCATTCTGCTGCTGCCAGCACCTCTCTGTGAGAACTGCTGCCAAATGTCCTTGTGTTTACAACTCTGTG